ATTGTGATAGATGTGTGTGTTAGGCCCGTTCACCTCATGGTGGCCAGGAGGCAAAGGGAGGAGAATGGGGCCAGGCCTCACATACATCCCCTTCAACAAGGGGGCACCCTGATAGTCTTACTAGGTCCCACCACCTCCACAGCACCAGGCACTGGCAAGCAAACCTTTAATATGGGCCTTTGGGTTCGTTTCAGATTTAAAATACAGCAAAGAGTTTTTTTTTTTTTATCTGAGTAATAAAGCTTAAATCTATCATTTAGGCATTCATGCTATTTTCTAGGGCTACTGTTTGCCAGGCACTGGGACAACTACCTCAGATGTGCTGAATGCCACAAAAAATAGTGAAACCACTTTTTTTCCTTCAGATTTTTATGAAACTACGAGAAACTATTTTTAAAGTTGTCAGCTTTTTATCTTCAATAAAAGGAAAACCCCCACATCATTTGTATCATAGAACATCTTGATCAGCAAAGCTTTCACTAACTTTTAAACATACAAAAACATTATTATCAAATTTCAGTGTTATAGGGAAAGCCTGACTAGGTGACTCATTAGTAGCACAGGCTAAGTCTTTTCTACTTCAAACTATTTTTTAAATGTATTAACCCTAAAACTAGTTATTTATTTTATATGTAAAAAGTAGCTCTAAACATGAAATAGTCACTGTTCAAAGTGCTTTATGACAGGGTGTCACATTGATTGTGCCCAGTGATGCAAAAGACATCTAAGCAATCCGTAGGACTACAAATGGTCCAGCAAATGACAGATTTTAAATGATCAGAATAATTGGCACATGTTTCTCTTGGTTATTTACAGGGAAACCTGCAGTGTTGGTTTTTTTTTTCCCTAGTCCATGCTGAAGATGGGCATTTGAGAAACAGCCTTGTTTCCAGCAAGGAGGAGTCTAAAAGTGTGTCCTTCGACAGCATCTAGTCTGTGACAGAACAGAGCTGCAAGTGCTACCTGAAGAACTTCGGCCATAGGCTGTTATCTGCATCTAGAGTGTCTGCTAAAGACCCAAGTGTTCAAGTGTCACTGCCCTTGGGTAGTAATGGAACCTTTCAGAGGTGGGAAGTCTCCAGGTCCTCAAGTGTGCGTCTTTGGAGGGGACTGTGTGACCTCAGCTCTTCTCTTTCTCTTTTTCACTCTCTCAAGGATGACCTGTTTCACTACAGGCAACAGGGCCAAATGACCATGGATTAGAACCCAGAAGCTGTGAGATAAAACTTTTTTAGTTTGATTATTTTTTTGTTTGTTTATTTTGAGATAGGGTCTCACACTGTAGCCTAGGCTGGCTTTGAATGGCAATCCTCCTGCCTCAGCTTCTTGAGTCTAGAGTCTAGAGCCACCCTGGCTCAACATTTAGTGAAATCTGAAATTTGAAGAGAAAGTTGAAATGGACCGTGTGTACTTTTTAGGTAGACTGTTTTAGGTTTTTACTCTAGCCTTGCATCATCATACAACCAATATGCTAAGTATCTCAAACTGATGAGCAGCTTGATTCAGGCACACAAATTATGATTTTATGGCACCAAAACATATGGGTGAAACATTCAAATTCAGGTAACTGATATGCAGATGTTTACATGTTTTGGAAGACTCTACCATTGTCTAGTAAAATGTATGGACTGGCTGGCTGAAAGGTGAAGAATTCAGTGAATTATGTTTTCATAAATAACGACCTAATTGTCAACTCTGAAAGAGTTTAGTGATCACTGGCTCTGGTGACTTTGGGCATCATTCTCCACAGCCTTTTGGTTCCTTGAAAGTCACTGCAGAACCTCCCTTCAAAGCTACAAGGGCATTGCTATTAAAGAATTTAAACAGATTAAGTGGGCTAAACAGAGGCAAAGAACAGGAAGAAAGCAATGCAGTGTATATTTGGGAGAATGAGACAGGAGGATTGTGAGATCCAGGTCAAACTGAGCTACATAGTAAGACCTTGTTGCTGTGGAACAATCTTTGTACATTGTCAATATGTATTGCTTTCATTGATTGATAAAGAGCTGACTGGCCTATAGTTGGACAGGATGAGATTAGGTGGGAAGTCAGACTAGTAGGACACTGGGAAGAAGGAAGAAGTCTGAGGATTCACCAGCCAAAGACAGGGAAAGCAGGGCATGTACAAAATGAGGTAACAAGCCACGAGTCACGTGGCAGCAGTAAGTAAACAGAAATGGGTTCATTTAAGTTACAAGAGCTAGCTAAAAGGAAGTCCGTGCTATTGCCTGAGCATTTATAATTAATAATAAGTCAGTGTGGTTATTTGGGAGACAGCTGGCAGTACAGAAAACTCTGCCTACATTTTGTCTCCAAATAAAACAGATAAAATAAAAGTTAGAAATAAAGCAGCACATCCTGGGGCATGTTGGCTCAGGGGTGTGCTTATTCCTGTGCACAGTGACAGCAGCTCCATAATGACGTTCAGTAGGATGCACAGGATGTCTCCTCTGTAATTTAGAAAGTCTTCCATTCTATGTGGACGAAAGCTTCACATTGACTAGTATGACTACAACCACTAAGAAAATGTATTCAGAAATGTTTCCTCATCAGGATTTGAAGCCCACTGCAGATTCCCTTCCTGTGTACAGACAATATGGATGTTTCCTCTATTGTTCAGCAAACACACTTCTCTGAAAACCTCTGAGAAGGAGTTTTCTTAGTCACCTTTAATTTCTTTAACGGTTGAACTCCTTAGGTCTCTGATACCTTGACATTTAACTCCCATTGGTTCTTGCTTTTGCAAGGACAAACTGAACACACTTTTCATATCCCCCCCCCTCTAGGTAGAGTAAGTGAAATAGGTTTGTTTACTTGTTTGCTTTTGAGACAGGATCTCACTATGTTGCCAAGTTGGCCTAGAATTTGCTATATAGACCACGCTGACCTCGAACTCATAGATCTTCCTGCCCCTGCTTCCTGAGTGCAAGTTTACTGTTAGATAAAGTAAAATGATGACTTTATTAGCAAGTGCATGGTAGTTTTCTTTGATTTTTCTGGATGGAAAAAATATACTATTCATATTACATAAGTCCAATTTTTGGGAAGAAGGGTATTAGGAATGGGGCCTTATGCATGCTAAGCTCTGCACTAAGCCATATTCCCTGCATATAGTTGAAATACTATTTTTACTTGCAAATGCTAAAGAATTGGAGATACATTTCGTGTGAGGTGTGCTTGTTTGTAATCCACAGGAAATATATTTTACATCAGTGTTGTGGTTCCTATAAGTGCTAAGAACTATATTTCATATGAATATGAGACATGATAATTTTTTTAAATAGGCAAAACCCAAAATAATCATTAGAAGCAGTACTGGCAGGCTTTCCAAGACTATCTTGATGATAATGACCTCAAAGTCAATGATTTCTTCATAAAGATGAAATAAGTTTGCTGCAACTTGATTGCATCAACTAAAATAAAGTTCTTGGCTTAAAAACTTGATCTTATGTTTTATGAGGTCTGAAATAAAAAGGAAACTGATGGAATTAAACCAGCAAATTATTTTGCAATCAACGACTGCAGTTATACACTGCTACAAAGCAGATGTGGTCAAATGTTGAGGAAAGTTGGACCAAATTTTCTTCCTGTCCAGTGCTGTTGATAGCTCTATTCATAATGTACTCTTGCTTTTAAAGGAACCGGCCCATAATGACAACTACAGCTTTTACTGCTTTCAAGAGGGCATCTTGATGGTAACCACTGTGAGGAACAAACAACTTCAAGATGGGACACAAATTAATCCTTACAGATATATCAGAGTCCACACAGATAAACACTAAGTTCAAAGATTATCTTCTTACCAGATCAGTTTTGCGAGAGATGAAAGCAAAAGAAAGTAAAGATCGGAGCTGGGGTGTAGCTCAGTGGTAAAGTGCATACTTAGTGTGTACAAGGCCCTGGTTCTGATCTCCTGCATGAGAGAAAGAAAGGAGGAGAAAGGAAGGAAGGAGAAAAGTTGGGAGGGAGGAAGGGAGGGAAAAATTGGATATCAAATGAAATAAAACTTCAGACTTAGTTTGATAACTTTAGCATATGTTAGTTCTTGAACCCATAAGGATTTTTTAAAAAAGAATTGATTAATAAGACTTAACAAACATCACACTGTGAAGTTACAACTAAAATTAGTTTTGTGGGCCAGTCAATCAATCAGAACCAAATGGGAATGAAGAAGTTGTTTTTAGCAGGCATAGATCGTCTATGATTATTGAGAGTGAGTGCTATAGCTCATGAACACATGGTCTTCTCTACTACTTCTCTGAAGCCAACAAAATCTTTTTTTTAATGCTGGGGATGGAACCCCAGGATCTCATATGTACTATAAAATACTCCTTCACATGGCTACACCCTATAAGTCTGAATCTAAATAGAGCTTAAAAAGTGTGAAGTTTTATCCTCTTGTATTTATGTAGCATTGAAATTTTGTGGGAATTAAAGATATTTGTGACTTTTTTTCTACAAATCTGTGTGTTCTCTGAAGTAAAAGACAATGCTATGCTCATCTTTGCATGGTAAAGAGCAACAAGAAAATACATGAGCCCAAATTCTGATATGCTACTTAATTCTGGTACTCTCAGAGACAATATTTTTTAAAAAGTGGGTATTAATAACCAATGCATATTAGTATAATTTAGCTTTTAAACTGTTTTTAAAAAGATTTCAATGCAACATAAAAATCATGTCTATCCTTACATTTGTGTTAAAATATTACAGTTTCCATAGATCTTTTCCCCAAGTTTTATTTTTTTATTTTTTATTTTTTTTCTTTTTCCCCAAGTTTTAAATCTTCTCTCCAGCCCAGCCAAACAGAGGAGGATTCTATGTAAAAGCTGAAATAGTTGGCCTACATGAAGAAGCTCTCATCAGGATGATTTTGAAGCCTGTCATTTTATAGAAGAATCGTACCCATTTCCATTAGCTGTCCTAGTGCCTACTGACCTGGACCTAGCATTGGCCGTGAGAGTGACAAGGTGCATGCATGTTCCTCAGTGTCCACTTACCATTGTGAGACATCCCCACGGCGAGGCACTTCTGAAACCGACAGTACTGACATTTATTTCTACTTTTTTTGTGGATCCGACAGTTAAGATCACACCTATCATAAATAAGCTTCAATCGGATGGTTCTTCGGAAAAAACCCTACAAAGGGATATGGAAAATAAACAATTTTTAAGTCTGTGTGACACATGGAAGCAGCAACCTGTGGATAAAGACATACTCACTGACCTGGATATCAGAAAGAGTGGGCTTGGATTGGGAAAATAGCACAATCAGGAAAGTGCATGCCTTGCAAGACTGAGGCCATAGTTCAGTCCTTAGGATCCTTTGTAAAAATGCTGGGCCTCATGTGGTGTATGCTTGTTATTCCAGGACTGGAAGGTAGAGACCAGAGGAATCCTGGGACCCATTGACCAGCCAATTTAGTCTAATTGGTGAGCTCCAAGACAGTGGGAGACCCTATCTCAAATACGGATGGCAGGATTCATAAGGATGATACCTGAGGCTGTCCTCCATCTTTTAAATGCATGCATATACATATGCACCTGTACCCTATACATATGCACATCTGTGTACATGCATGAACTTATACATATACTCATAAGTATGTGTGTTTGTGACACAGTTCTTCCATGGGGGCCTTGTATAAGTGGCTTTCTGTGGCTTACTGTAAACCAAAGAACAGGAGAATCCTCTAGGGTCCTTTTGCACCTCTTAAACACTGAGCACATCCCAGTGATGTCAGGCAGTGTACCTTGGCTCTACATTTGGTTTTCAGCATGTTCTAAGAAGTGCTCTGGATTTAATGTAATGCAAATAAAACACCATGTAATCAGCCCAGTCTCTCAGCAAATGATTCCAGCAGCGTGCCCCGGCCTTCATAATTGTGCTAAGCAGCTTGGCAAAGTTATAGTCATTTCCTTCTAAAGTATGATCAGGGCCAATAAAAATCCACATGTGGATAACTTTTTGGAATTCTCCATGTTGCAATTTCCTGCAGAATTTGCTTTATTTATTTATGTAGTTGAAAGAATCCCCCACCATTGTAGCTTGCAAGCAGAAAGAGATAGCAGGAAATAATATGAGAAGCAATTGGGAAATCCTCAGAAAATCTGCTACTTCAAGATGCAAATGTGTCCTTCTGGGGCTAAGAGAGTACTCTTCTGAATTTACTACATATTTTGGATAGAACTGCAGAAAATTTAATTGTAGTTGCTTTCTAGCTCTATTGTGTGTGTGTGTGTGTGTGTGTGTGTGTGTGTGTGTCCATGGTTTTCTCTCATTTCTTATTGTGTTAATCTTCATGAAACACATTTCTCTCAAATTCATCTGGTCCTGTTAGGTATGGAAAACTCGGAATGGGTCAGCAAGATGACTTAGCAGGTAAAAGCACCATGTAAATCTAACAATTCAAGTCTGGTCCCTGGAACCCATGTTGAAAGAAACAAATGGGCCCCTCAAGGTTGTCCTCTGACTCTGTATGAGCACTGTGCCATATGTGCACACTCATACTTAAATATCATACACAGACAACAATATAAATACAAATAAAATTTAATTATAAACAAAACAAGCCCCCACTGAGTTAATATTGGCTCTGCTTTGGCGTGGATTTTAACTTTCTCCAGCTCCACCTCCCTAGAGCTTCTGTACATGTTACCAATGAGCTACCTCCTTGCCTTCAGCATTATGTCTTGGACACTAAACAATAGGCATGTTCTATGGCCCACTTGACATCCTTACTGGAAAGGTCACTAGTCCTTCAACTCACTGTCTGCAAATGAAGTCCTGGCCCTCCCTATAAGCTCCCATACTGTGGCCTTTTCCAATTCAGCTGGGGCAGCTCCATGCCCTGTTTCTCAAGCCAAAATTCATGAAGTCATATTGGCTTTATTTTTCTTGAAGTTACTTGATCCCTTTCTTTCCCTCAAGTGGCTAGCCTTTTCTCTAAATACAGTCTTAGTATTCCATTATCTGAAATACTTGGGAGCATAAGTATTTTGGATTTCAGATTAAAAATAATTCTCTAGAATAGTTGCATATACAAAATTATCTTGGTCTTGGGGGAACCTGTGTTCCTCCTTACCTTTTTCCTGTGCTAGGATTCCTACCACTCTACCTACCACTGATCCACACCCCTCTTTCTGAGAAAGGGTCTTACTGTATAGTCCAGGCTGTCTTCAAACTTGTATTTTTGCACTAGTCTCCCAAGTGCTGTGATTGCAAGGCAGGTGCTACTATGATCAGCTCATATACATTTTATATATGGAGTCTGAAGGTGGTGATAGGGATCAATCCAAGGCATTGTACAAGCTAGGCAAGCTATCTTTGAGCTATTGAGCCTTTGGATTTTTAAAGACAATAGTCTTACTATGTAGCCAGGCTGACCTTGAACTTGGGTTTCTCCAGTTTTGTCTTTCTAAGTGCTGGTATTTTAGTTGTGTACCTCCATGAGGAGCTGAAAAATACCTTTATATAGTAATTTTAGTGAACCCATGTTTTGACTATGACCTGGTTAATTAGGTCAGCCATGAAATTTTCCATATGACATTATGTTGGCACTCAAAAATTTGGGGGCCTTGTGGATTTTGTATTCTAGTATTGGAAAAATTTAATCTGTATGCATATGTCCACTTTCTTCATCACAAATTTTTGGTAACATCTTAACTTCTTAGTCAGCCTCATCTCTAACTTGATGCTGTTGTCCTGTCCTATGTGCCCCACTTCTGGAACTTGGTCTCCTTACTTTTTATTCTGTCTGGTTTCTAGTAGTACTTGTGACTTCCTAGCATATCGCAGAAATCACCTACCTAAGAGATTAAATGCTCAGCATGCATTCCTAAATGTTTATTATCTGCTCTTCCCAACTCCCCACTTAAAATTGTGAGTTCTACAGAATAGAATTGTCTCCTAACCACTGGACACAACCAGAGCCCACAACATACTTTATTAAAATCTCACATGTGATTTTATTTCTTTCTGATCATTTTCTGAACTTGGTACAGTTTATTAGTCTACTCACATGGCAACAGCTGTTTAAATTACTGATGTTTTCTATTATGAATGCACCTCTATAAGCATTACTATAAAGTGTTATTTATTTATTGAGGTAAAGTCTTGCTATGTAGCCCAAGATGGCCTAAAACTTACAGCAGTTCTCCTACCTCAGCCATCTGAATGCTAGAATTACAGGCATGTGTCATCATGCTCAGTTCATTGTACACAATATACATACAAGGGTTTTCTTTAGTCAGAATTTCTATACTATATGATACACAATTGATATATGTTATAAGATAATGCAAAATTATTTTCTAAATTGGCCATGTTTTTTATAGCCCTCTAAACTGTTATGGAAATTTGAGTACCTCATTACTGCTTGGTGTAGTCAGACCTTATGTTTGCTGCCTTCCTCAGCCTCCCTTGCACCTGTGACCATAGGTCCATGACAAGATTTCATGGAGAATCTGTTATATGTAAAATGTAAGTATGATCTCAACATATTTCCCTGGCTTTTCATTTCCAAGTTTGTAACAGGCTATCTTGTCTAAAACTGAACATTAGGCATTCTTTATATGTTCTAGACGCTTATTTAATATCTGCACATGTGTTGGTAGGTATCTTCTCTCTGGCTTTATGCTGAAATGCATTTTTTCAGTGATTTGTAAAAGCTTTTAAACATTTTGTTTAACTTTCATTCTTGAGAGATGACAGGCACATCCCTTAACACTTTGAATCCTGTTGCATTTGTGTACCCATTGTTGCTGTGGGAAGTATCTTGTCAACTATTTTGGTGATCTTTCTGCTTTACTGGTTGCTTTTATAATTCTCTTTCTCTGTAGGCTTAGGTTTTCATTTTCTTATTTCCTTGGTTGTGTTTTCTGATTCTGGGTTTCCCTTGTTCATCAGCTTTGGGATTCTAATTAGACAAATGTTATTCCTTGTGCTAATTTTGTGTTTCTGAACTTCTCTTTTGTGTTTTCCATATTCTTGTCCCTATTTGTTTACTAATATTGATTTCATATGTAAAAATCAGAACACTAATCAAATAAGGCACATAAAAACCCAATTATACTGATAGAAGTAAAAACAAACATTTCTCACCAAGTTTACTAGTGAGAACTTTTCTGAATTTACTCTGATATTGTTTAGTGCAAACATACCTTTTTAACCTTCAACCACACTACCAACCAGCTCTGAGAACTAAATGAGCCTTCAAAATCTGGCCAGCTCCAGAATGAACACTCTTTCCGTATACTTTGTGATTTGGATACTATCTTTCCCTCTGTGTCCAGTATGATATTTGAGCTTTCCATTGACATTTCATTGTGATATTTGTATGTTTAAGCCTGGGCATTCTTAAGGGGTCTGTTTGTCTGGTTCCTATCCCCCTTTAAATCAAGTCTTACAGATCTGCTCTTTATCCTGTATCAGGCCTTCCCAATACCTGCCATCTGGGAGATGAGTAAATGGTGTCAATACTAGCTTTTCTTTCTCTTTCTTCCTTCATTTCTCCCTTCTTTCCTTTCTTTCTTTCTCTGATATATGTCATTCAAAATGATTGCTTTTGTATGTGGTTTCTGATGTTTTATTTTGAAGTTATCTTTTGATCATAAACTGTGGAAATTCTATAAAGTCTAAATTGGGAATTCTTTCCTTCAAAGAGAATTTGAAGATGCTTCTTCTGGAAGTTCAGGCACCACTGGCTTATGACATCCTAATATCATTGAGAATCCTGGCTCCATCTGAAAGCCCCAAACTCAGCTCCTCTTACTTGCTGGCTCTGACTGAGCATGGCAAATCAGCACCTTCCCAGCTCTGTGAGCATCCCCCAGGAAAGCCCTGCTGAAGACTCTATTGTCATCTTGTTTTGTCTTTGATATGGTTTTGGAATTTCTGCTACTCTTGTGTGCTAATACTGTGATATTAACAGTATCCTAAAGAGTATGTCCCATTACAAACCTGATGCAATAGAAGCCTCTTTCTGCTCAAAGGGTCCCAAGACTGTGGTTGTGCTAACATTGATGATTAACAGCAAGTTAATGTGCATCAGATCCATACTGATGAGGAATTTTGATTGCTCAATTTTGATAATAAAAAATTTAGCTTGATTCATATGATATATATCAAAAGTGAATCAT